CTTCTGCCTTTTTTTTTTTTTTGGTGGGGGGTGGTCTTCTTAAGCACTATGGTTTCTTTTTATATATACTAGTGCTCTGTCTGCATGTATGCCTTCATGACAGAAGAGGGCATCAGATCCCACTATAGATGGTTGTGAGTCACCATGTGGTTGCTGGGAATTGAACTCAGGATCTCTGGGAGAGCAGCAAGTGCTCTTAACTGCTGAGCCATCTCGCAAGCCCCATGCACTGTTTTCAAGTTCCATCCATGTTATAATGTATCAGAGTGTCATTTGTTTTGTTTGTTTTGTTTTCCTTTTCTGAGACAGGGTCTCATGTAGCCCAGGCTATATCCTATCCTAAACCTGTTACCTCTAAAAAGGCCCAGAGTGTGCCTGGGAGGGCATCAGGGCTCCAGATTCTGTGTACTGAAGGGGAATATCAGGCCTTTCTGCAGATAAGTAGCCAAAGATAGCCTTGAACTTCTAATCTACCTCCACCTCTCAAATACTGGGATTACAGATATGGTCTACTCATCTGTTTGGGGAGCTTGTTTGTTTTGGGTGTGTGTGTGTGTGTGTGTGTGTGTGTGTGTTGCTTTGTTATTGAAGTGGATTGATTGGTTGGTTGATTTTGAGACAGGTTTACTGCATTGGCAGGACCAGAAATTACTAGGTAGTCCAGTCTAGCCTCAAGCTTGCTACAGTTCTCCTGCCTCAGCTTTTCACGTGCTTCCTCCCCAGGCTACATTTCTTTCTTTTCTTTTCTTTTTTTTCTTTTTTCTTTTTTTTTTGTTTTTGTTTTTGTTTTTGTTTTTTTCAAGACAGGGTTTCACTGTGGCTTTGGAGGCTGTCCTGGAACTGGAACTAGCTCTTGTAGACCAGGCTGGTCTCGAACTCACAGAGATCCACCTGCCTCTGCCTCCCGAGTGCTGGGACTAAAGGCGTGAGCCACCAACGCCCAGCCATTTCTTGTTTTGTCACACAAAAGACTAAATACTCATACAGTGGGTTGAATATTTATCAACAGTAATTATTCTAATGGCTTCATCACAAACAAAACTGCTGGCTCTCTAGCTCCCTTTTCAGCTCTGAAAGCAGTACTGAAAAACATGGCCAGCAGCCAGGCATGGTAGTATACACCTTTAATTCCAGCACTCAGGAGGCTAATCTCTGTGAGTTGGAGGCCAGTCTGGTCTACAAAGAAAGTAACAGGACAGCCTCCAAAGCTACACAGATAAACCCTGTCTTGAAAAACCAAATAAATAAATAAGAGAAGACAGAAAATGAAAAACATGGCCAGCAAAGACAGTGTCACTGTCTCAATTTATGCAGGTAGCCTTGTCACTGCAAGTGACTGAAGGAAGAGCACCATTGTGATGGTGTTTCAGTGTCACATCAAAACAGTTTTGGCAGGCGTTGGTGGCGCACACCTTTAATCCCAGCACTCGGGAGGCAGAGGCAGGCAGATCGCTGTGAGTTCGAGGGCAGCCTGGTCTCCAGAGCGAGTGCCAGGACAGCCTCCAAAGCAACACAGAGAAACCCTGTCTCGAAAAATCAAAAAACAAAAAACAACAACAAAAAAACAGTTTTGGCCTTGCAGCCTCTGAAAGGAAGTAAGCAGAAATCAATGCTGTCCTTTGTTGCCAAAGTCTGCATAGGAAGACCAAAAGAGCAGCAGAGTACAGCCAACAGGAACTTCAAGGGTTGTGGCAAAGCTGGAAGGGGGGTTCAAGAAAAAGCCAAGACCCCCCACCCCATTCTTTTCTTCAGGCCCCACAGCAGTCCCAGAAACCTGAGTCTCCAGAAAGGTGTGACATTCCCCTTGAGTGCACAGAATCTGGTGCTCTGCCACCCTCCTATGACACCTGGGGGAGGGTGCTTTTTAGGGGTGACAGGTTTAGGAAAGAGCCTACAAGGGACACAGGTTCTGGGAGCAATAGCCAGGAGGACAATGGCCAGAACCAGAATGGGAACAGATGTTGAAGAGACAATCAGGTCAGATATTGTGGCTCATACCTGAAACCCCAGAGATCAGGAGGCCAAAGCAGAAGGATCTCAAATTTCAAACCAGCCTGGATTGCATAGCAAGTAGACAGAGATGTGGGAGTGGAGATAGTAAACCGTAATTGTCACACTAAGTCATACCATGCAGCCCCTACATGTAGATTTGAAGCATGGTTTCCAACCCGAGGAACCAAAGGCCCTTGGAGAAATGCTAGATCTGTAACATGAAAAATAAAAGACCCAAGACAGATATTGGGGATCAAGCTTCAAGCTGAAGATAGAAAAGCAAAGCAGCTGGCCACTACATCTTACCTCTACCTAACACTGAGTGAAAGGTGATCCTGGCTCCACCAAACCTCACACTGCTGCCTCTTCTCAGCGTGGCTGGAGAATCCTGAGACTTCAATATCTTCCTGTCCTCAATGTGGCTGGAGAATGAAAGCCACATACTGAGACCTTGCTCCTGTTTTTTGTTTTTTGTTTTTTTTTTTTTTTTTTGGTTTTTCGAGCCAGGGTTTCTCTGTGTTGCTTTGGAGGCTGTCCTGGCACTCGCTCTGGAGACCAGGCTGCCCTCGAACTCACAGAGATTCGCCTGCCTCTACTCCTGTCTTATATACCTCCCTAATGCTGGGATTAAAAGTGTGTGATTCCAGGTGCTGGGATTAAAGGCATGAACTCTATTACTCTTCACCCTTTCGTAGGCCAAGGTGGCCTTGAACTAACAGAGATCTGTCTACCTCTTAATCCTGAATCCTGGGATTAAAGGTGTGTACCGCCACTGCCTGATCTCTATAGCTTGAGGCTGACTTTGCTTTCTGAATCCTCAGGCGAGCTTTAATAAATTATAAATAATATATTACCACAGGTATAGCCTTTGAGGTAAAGTAAAAAACAGCCCCCAAGAGGTCCTCACATCAAATCCTCAGAATGCACCAAGCCCCACCTTCAATCTCTAGCACTACAAATCCAAACGAAGTCTCCAGAACTTGTGAATTGTGCTATTTGCAGCTTTTTTAAGTAACAGATTTTGAGATGACATCATCAAGGATTTCTCCAGTGGTCCCTAAATGCCATCCCAAAGTGTCACAGGAGCCGATAGCCCTTTGTCCACACCCAGAAGACCTGAAGTCAGTGCAAAGACTCAGCCACCAGGAAGCTGGGAGAAATGGGGGAAAACAAACGAATGCCACAAATCACCAGTTCTTCCCAAATGTTCATTTTTCACTTACAGACTTTTGAATTTGAGATAACAAACTTCTGGGGATTATGTTGCTGTTGATTGTTTGCTTTCTGGTGCTGGGAATAAAACCCAAGACTGGGAACATACCAGTCAGCTCTATGCCACTGAACTATATCCTCAGGCTGATGGTTTCTTTTTTCTTTGTTTTTATTTGACACAGACCCAGACTGACCTTGAATTCACCTTGTAGCTGATATTGGTCTTGATCAATCACTTAATCCTCCAGCCTCTACATCCTGAGGTCTAGAATTAACACCGCTTCCCTTGTCTCTTCAATTGGCAAAAGTTGTATATATTTATGATATTTTGAAGTGTATTAAACACATGTGTTAGCTAATTAACATACTTATATAGTTGGTGTATATGTGTTAAAGACACTTACAATTTTATTACATTTATTTATTTATAGTATGTGGTACATGCCCCATGGTGCCTGTGGAAGTCAGAGGCAACTACTGGGAGCTGGTTCTCCACCATGTTGATTTGAACAATCAAACTCAGGTCTTCTGGCATGCTGGCAAACACTTTTACCAGATGAGCCATCTCACCACTCCTATTAGAAATTATCGGGGAGGGGGGGATCAGGTGGATTTCTAGGCCAGCCTGGTCCACAGAGTGATTTCCAGCACAGCCTGGGCTACACAGAGAAACCCTGTCTGCTATACTCATAGATCAGTGCCTAGCTCAACTGTCATCAGAGAGGCTTTATTTAGCAACTGATAGGAGCCGATGCAGAGACCCACGGCCAAACATTAGGCATAGCTCAGGGAACCCCACAAAAGAGGGAGAGGAAGTGTTGTAGGAGCCAGAGGGGTCAAGGACACCATGAGAACAAGGCCCACAGAATCAACCAAGCAGGGCCCATAAGGGCTCACAGAGACTAAACCGACAATAAGGGAACCTGTATGGGTCTGACCTAGGTCCTCCGTATATCCGTTACAGTTGTGTAGCTTTGTCTCTTGTGGGACTCCTAACAGTAGGAGTGGGGGTATTTCTGGATCTTTTGCCTGTTCTTGGGATCCTTTTCCATATAGCGGGTTGGCTTGCCCAGCCTTGAGATGAGGGTTTGTGCCTGGTCTTACTGTAACATGTTATTCTGTGTTCAGCTGATATCCCTGGGAGGCTTCCTGCTCTTTTCTAAACCGAAGAGGAGTGGAGTGGATCTGGGGGAAAAGGGAAGTGGAGGGGCAGAACTGGGAAGGGTGGGGGGAGGAGGAAACTGCGGTTGAGACATAATGTATGAGAGAAGAATAAAAAACCATTTTTTATGTGTACCACAAGCCTGAAGGAGCCCCCAGAAGACAGAGGGGGCATCAGATCCCCTAGAACTGGTTATGAGCTGCCATGTACGTGCTAGAAACCCAACTCCGGTCCTCTGCAAGAGCAAATGCTCTCAACCACTAAGCTATCTTATCTCTCCAGCCCTATCATTGCCCATGTTTTACTGAGTTATTTATTTTCCTCTGCATAGTCCTGACTGTCCTGGAACTCACTCTATAGACCAGGCTGGCCTTGAACTCACAGAGATCCACCTGCCCCTGCCTCCTGAGTGCTGGGATTAAAGGCATGCACCACCACTGCCCAGTTTTCCCCTCCCCCTTCTCTGTTGAAGGAAGCTGAGTCTAGAAGACGTAGTGACTATTTCTAGAATGGGGATGAGTTGGATGACTGACATGGAGCCAAGAGGATAAGCAGCGTGTTCATAGTAGTGGTATTCCTGTGCTGAGACCACCCCTGCTATCACAACCAGGGCCCCAGTGATAAGTCAACTCTGTAAGCACTTTCTGTCTTTATTAATACCTTGCACAAGTGACCTCAACCACAATGGGTGGAGACTGTGGACAGGTGTCTGAGGCTGGAGTGGGCTGTTATTGTGCCTGATGGCATTCATCCTAGGTACTGCTTCAGCGTTGGGAGGATATTGGAAACCATTCACCAGCTCAGGATGCCTGGGCAGTACTTGTCAATCAGCCCCTGATAGTAGGGCTGAAGGCTGTCCACATCTGGTAGCTCAGGGCTCTTGGTGTAGAGGTCAAATTTACTGCAGAGAAAGGGGAGGAGCCATGAGCATCATGAAAGATCTTTCTTCAACCCCAAGTCCCCTTCACAGCCCACACCCAAGAAATTATGTACTTGAACTCTTGCACCCAGGGCAGCATATCCAGGTCCTGCTGACTGCACAGCTGTAGGTAGTCACCACCCGTGTGCCATGGATAGAAGGAGTGGAATCGGATCATGTAGAAGGCCTGTGGATGACACACGGCACGCTCAGATCTGCCAGACTGGCCAGACAGGGCTAGGCTTGTTATTGGGCTCTCCCCCGACCTACCTCAGGGGGTAGGGAGAACTTGTTGAACTTCATCATCTGGTAGAGGTACTCTGTAGGAGAGGGGGTGCTATAGCCAGATGCCCAGAGTCTTGGAAGCCCTTCCCTCCATCCCCACACTATCCCCTTCCCTGTCTCGTGCCTCACCGTCATGGCCCCAGGACATAAGGACATTCTCAAGTCCACAGTAGGCCCGGTACATGCCAAGTTCTGTGCTGCAAGATCAAGAGATGAGCATGAGGGGGTCTGGGCAGTATAGGGAAAAGACCACCTGTGGTCCTGTATTGAGGTGTTACGGTGGAAGCTTCACCCAAGCCCCTGGCATCCCTATACTCAAAGAGTCTGGAATGTTCTGATGGAGGTTCCACCCAAGCCCCCCTCCCCTATCTCTTTCCAAAGCCTGCTTTATCTCAGAAAGCCCACCAAATGATGACCCCCTCCCCCAAAGATGCTCAAGACCACTCCCCAGGGTATTTAAACTGCCCCCCCAAATAGACTTGTGGTTTTCAAGGGGGCTGGGAAGCCATCTGGGAGTGCTGTATCCTTTAAATGTGGGCTTTTTGAGCTGGGCTGCGCATGCCTTTAATCCCAGCACTCAGGAGGCAGAAGCAAGCGGATCACTGTGAGTTCGAGACTAGCCTGGTCTACAAGAGCTAGTTCCAGGACAGCCTCCAAAGCCACAGGGAAACCCTGTCTCGGAAAAAAACAAAAAAAAACAAACAAACAAACAAACAAAAAAAACAAAAAAAAGTGGGCTTTTTCTTTCTTGTTTTTTGTTTGTTTTGTTGTTGGTTTGGTTTAGACAGGGTTTCTCTGGGATTAAAGGCCTGTGCCACCACCACCCGGCTAAACGTGGGCTTTTTCTAATTCGGTTTGATTTTGACTGCCACATCGGTGGAGAGGCTTATCGGGTTGTGAAAATTTTTCCGTAAAGTCAGGTGCTATTTCAACCTACTTGTATCGAGGGTCCTGGAGATCAGGGTTGTCCTGGAAAGTCGAGTCACAGAATACCACAGAGGCCTGGGGACGGCAGCCCACGGGAAAAGTGTCTCCAACAACGGCCCACTAGGAAAGGACAGGCAGCTGTGGGTGAGGGGACAGATCTGCTCCCTCTCCTACTGCCCCCAGCCCAGCGCTGAATGAAGCTGCCCCAACTCCCCATACCTGGCCCTCACCTGAGGTTCCCCCCACAGAACCAGGATCTTTCCCAGATCATGCAGAAGTCCGACCAGGTGGAACCAATCTGTGGAAAAGGGACACATGAGATAGAAGCTGCCTGGAGAAAGGTAGGCAGAGCAGGCTCTAGGATGAATGCAAGGAGTTCAGGAGTCTGCTTCCCTCAAGGTGGGGCCTGTGGGAAAGAACCAGACCTCTTGGGGAGCCTTCTAGGGCAATGATAGTCCCTCCCCCACCACAGCTGTAGGACACACCTTTGTCTGGGTGGGCTTTCCGGATGCCCTCCGCTGTCTGGAATGCATGAAAGGAATTGGGGAAATCTACATCCGGGTCGGATTCATCCACCAGGTCGTCTAGCATGTTCACAGCCTCCATGACTGTCATTTTCTTGTGTGAGAAGCCTCCAAACTGGATATGCTGGGGAGAAGGGAGAAATCAACCATTCTCCAAGAGGGAACTAAAGAGCAACGTCACTCGGTGGGTACACTTGGGCCCAAATCAAGGAGGCTCCCACCAGAGTCTGCATTAGAAGCGGGAAACATTTACCTTCCTGTTGACGAAGTCCACCGTCTGGTGTGTATGCATAAGCTTGTAGGTGGTAAAGACTCGATCCAGCAGCGGGCCTGCCTGCAAGCCAGTCAATCAGTATAGGGTGTGTGCCAAACTGGCTCAGCACACTGGAGACCATGACCTCCCCTCCTGCACGCCAAGCCCCACAGGTATAAAGTGCCATGGCCCTTCCCCTAATCTCCACCCCCCCCCCCCCAGAGCTGTGGGATGCAGAAGGGCTGCCCTCCACAGGGCTGGGTCGGAAAACGGGCAGAGAAAGTGAGAGGGGTGGAACAGGAATTCACTCACTGTGTAGTTTCGGAAGCTGTCCTTGCTTTTCGCCAGCTCTGGGTCCACATCAGGTCGATAGACCAGGGAAGGGTCTGGGCCCTGGTTGGAAAGGAGTTTGACCCATTTCACCGCCAGCCGGGTTCATAAGGAAGGGAGGACATTACATCTCCAAGGGACTAAATACTAAAAGCCTCATCTCGTGTGCATGTCAGCCTTCCACCTGCCAGTCAGTATCAGCCGATGCCTGCTTCTAGTGTGAGAAGATACAAGAGACAGCAGGCAGATGGATCTCTGTGAGTTTGAGGCCAGCCTGGTCTACAGAGCTAGTTCCAGGACAGCCTCCAAAGCCACAGAGAAGCCGTGTCTCGAAAAACAAACAAACAAACAAACAAAGGCAGCAGCCCCCATCTGCTTGCTATCCTTGCAGATATAAGGTAACTTTAGGAGGAGACCTGACTCCGCAGGGAGTCTGGAGGTGGGGGGCTTCTAACCCTTACCCCCGCTGGACTACAACAGTTAGGAGTTAGCTCTGTGACCTTGAGGAGCAGCTGAACCAGCTGAAGAGAATAGTACTTGGTGCCTTTTCCACTGAGGGCAGTGCCCACAGCGAGGGATTGGGGAAGCCAGCCCTGTAGGATAAGGTACTTACCATGTCCACCTTCATCCTGAGAGGCAGCAGCGATCCGATGGCAGAGCCTGCAGGTAGGTGAGGTCCTAGGCCAAGGAGCCCTTTATATATTTAAAGGTTATGTAACTGACCGGATAATACCTATCTCCTTGGCCTTGACATTTGGTAATAAGTGACCATCCACCTTCCCCCTGGCCTCAGCAAGTTAATATATCAGCTCAGAAACAGAACCCCCTTAGCCCAGCCCCCTTTTCCTTCACTTCCGCCTCCTCCATCCTAGAGTGACTAATCCCTCAGATACACCATGTAGCCAGACTTCTGATTCCCCTTGTTGAGGGCACAGAGATCCTTGTACTCATAGAGAAGCACTAAGAGGACCAGGAATGTTCACCATGCAGGGGCGTCTCCTCAATGGAGGAGATTAAAAAACATACCTGGGCGGGTTTTGGTGGCCCACGCCTTTAATCCCAGCACGCGGGAGGCGGAGGCAGGTGGATCTCTTTGAGTTCCAGGACAGCCTGGTCTCCAGAGCGAGTGCCAAGACAGGCTCCAAAGCTACACAGAGAAACCCTGTCTCGAAAATCCAAAACCAAAAACCAAAACAAACAAACAAACAAACAAAAAAACAGATACCTGAGCTCCAACCAGAAAGCTGAGAGTGGATTTTGTTAATGACCTGGTCACCAGGTTATCTGTGGAGACACACCTCACCCCCCTCCATTTGCTATAGAGGCAGACCTCACCCAAATTCCAGAATGATTATTCTAGACCACTTCCCATCCTTAGGAGAGATGTCAGTCACATGTTCTTTACATTCTGCTGACCTCTAATGCTATTGGTCAGGGACCGCACTAGATTCTAGGCCTTTTAGCTATAGAAGCCACCCTCATGGTCACATGTACTTTGTAAAAGACTTTCTATGTAGTCACACCATAAACTTTATTGTGCACCCTGGGCTACACAGAGAAACCCTGTCTTGAAAAAAAAAATTTTTTTTTTCAAGACAGGGTTTCTCTGTGTAACAGTCCACAGTCCTAGCTGTCCTGGAACTCACTCTGTAGACCAGGCTGGACTTGAACTCATTGAGATCCATCTGCATTTTCCTCCTCCAAGTGCTGGATTAAAGGTGTGTGCTGCCAAAAAAATAAAAATAAAAAAAAATAAAATAAAAAAAGAGTGTGCTACCACCACAAGGCTGTTCTGTGTTGGGTTTTTTGTTTTGTTTTGTTTTTGTTTTTGTTTTTTTTTGTATTTTTTTGGTTTTTCGAGATAGGGTTTCTCTGTGTAGCTTTGGAGCCTATCCTGGCACTCGAGGCTGGCCTCGAACTCACAGAGAACCAACTGCCTCTGCCTCCTGAGTGCTGGGATTAAAGGCTTGCGCCACCAACGCCTGGCCTTGTTCTGTGTTTTAAATATGGGAACGATGAACCTGCTGACAAAGTCAGTCTGAACCCAGTTTTAATTCTTCTCTCTTCTCAGATCACTGCCTGCATTGCCACTTAGGGGCTCCCCTTCAGCTGTCACCAAAAACACGGGACAACACCACCTTGGAAAAGGTAAGGAAAAATTTCTTTCATTTGAAATTGAGGTTAAGGAAAGTCAGTCTTCTCATAGGAAAAGGGGTCTCGACCTTAAAATGAGAGGGTGGAACTAAATAGGGGCTCTTCTTGGTCCCCTGAGGCAAAGCACTTTGTATAGTTGTTAAAATATTTGTTAAGGTCCAAGGAGCAAAACATTCATAGCTACAACTCTGCAACTTTACATGCATAGGATTTAAAGTAAAGATAGTAGAAGGGGGATAATAAAGTCTCTGTCAATTATTTAATAAAGAGAGAAAGAGTTGTTTGGTTGGGTTTTTTTGTTTGGTAGGTTTTCTATAACAGTGGAAATAACTCAGTATTAAAGGTCCCTTCATAGAATTTTTTTTCCTAATAGCAGTATCAATGACCCCTTCATGGGAGAAAAAAAAATCAAAACAAGCCCAACTTCTAGTACAGAAACAATCCCAACTAGGGCATAAAGCCCTAAGCCAATGCTGTTTAACTTAACAGAGGTATTAATCATTCATTATATGGAGGATGTTCTTTTCTGATTGTCTAATGGATGCTTAAATGAATGCTTAATTTTCATAGTAAATAATCTGAGAGAGCAAAATTCATAATCTTGAACTATATCATTGGGTGCACTCTCATCTGTTACTGCTGAGGATTTGACTCTGCTCTCTAAGTTACCATCTGGAAACTCTCCTTTAAATTCTATAAAAAACATAACACCTGAAACAGAGCAGGCTATTAGCTTATTAAATAATGTGGCTGCTAAATTGGTAGTTCATAGAAATAATCTCATACTGAGAAAGAGTCTGTAATAACTATTTTTT